ATCCAAAGTTTAAAAACGGAGAAAAAGTTCGTGGTGAATGGCCATCGTCTTAAACCTTATTACGAGGGGTTCTCTGTTGAAGAAGTAGAAGTTGAACACCTCCAACATCCACTTTATAATGCTTGAGCGTTTTGGCCATGTCTAGCCAAAAACAGTAAAGAAAGACGCTACTTGGGAAGCAACCCAAGACTATTTGTTTCAGTTTTCATGCATTTTTGAAGTTTTAGTTAAGTGTTAGTGTCAATTAATAGTTTGATGTTTGGTGGCAGGAAATTAGTAGTTAAGCGTGCTCACGCCTGAGGGGAAGGAATTTTCGTTCAGGTTCTGCGGACTCCATAGCAGTTAGACGTGCCCACGCCAAGTGGTCACGCCTGATGGAAGGAATTTTCGTTCAGGTTCTGCGGACTTCATGGCAGTTGAGCGTGCCCACGCTAGGTGCTCACGCTAAAAAAAAAAAAAAAAAAGGGCCAAAAGATGAAATTGCCCTTATTGAAAAAGAAGAAAAAAAAATCGTAGCCCTACTTCTTCTTTTCTTCCTTTTTCTTTCTTTCTTCTTCTTCTTCTTTCTTGTCTTTTTGTCCGCCGTCGCACCTCCCTTTCTCCACACGCCGCACGATCACCGCACCGCACCTAGCCGCGCGCGACCCAGCTGCGCCGCACGACAGCACCACCAGCAGCATCTCAGCGCGGACCACCAGCCGCAGTTCCAGGGCCTCAGCTCCACCGTGTGCGGTTCCGACGCCTCCTTCACCAGCCAAGCCCGCCTTGCTCCAGCAGCAGCCACGACCAGCAGCAACGCCGCCGCACTCGCCGCCACCTAGCCCGCGCAGCAGGAGCCCACTGTGCGCGCAGCTTCACCAGCCACCAGCTGCCTTCGCACGGCCAGCTCGCGCGTGCAACTACCCACCGCACGCACGGATCAAGCCAGCTGTGCACGGTGCGCAGTCAACCGCCAAGCGCCTCGCCCAGCTCTTTTCTCTGCCCATCGCGACTCCAGATCGAGCAAGGCAAGGTCAGTCTGCACGCACCTGCTCGCCTACCCAGGCGTGCGCCAGACCAGCGCAGCTCTTCCCCCCTTTGCGCGCATTCCCCTGCTCTCCATTTCACTCACGGCCACTCACCCGCTTCGCGCGCAACCGAAGGCGCAGCAGCCAGCTAGCTCACGCGAGCCAGCCACGCGCAACAAGGGTCAACCGCGAGCCGCCTTCTTCCTCCTCTAGCGCCACCTGCATTCTTTTTCTCTTCCACCCATAGCAACTACCGGTTATCCCCCATGGTGATTTCTTTCTTAATTTTCTGTCACTAAGTAGCTAAGGCCAGATTACTAGCTTTTATTAGCTGATGACAGATTTTATTTTCGTAGCTGAGGCCAGATTCTTTTTAGTTGCTAATTGAGGACAGATATTTTGTGCTTGATTTGGGTCCTGTGCCGTATCTGTAGTTGATTGTTGCTTATTAGGTATATTTTGTGTTCAACCGGGGTTATCAGGGGGAGGTTTTCACTTCGGTTGCCTGATTATTTCGTTTTTGAGGGGGTTTTGCTCTGTTTATTTGATTAATTACTTTTTGGGTCAAATTGGTAGTATTTGGGAGAATTTTGCTGTTCATAGGCTTAATTTATTTTTGGGTCAATTCATTGCCTGCTTTTGCACGTGATTGCGAGTGGGGAGTTGTGACTGAGAATCATTTACTTTGGGGCCACTTGTGACTTCTTTGGAACACCATTTCCTTGCCTCCACCCTGCCCTCTGCATTCAAATGACTAAACCAAAAAATAAGGGCAAGAGCAAACCTTCCACTTCCACCCCTCAACCTACGGTCCCCTTAGGGGGACCTGCCCCTCGACTGGGCCAGGAGGGCCCCGTACTCGCCTTGGACGGAATAGAGAGGTGCATATCTCCTCTCCGGCCCATTTCGGCAGCGATTTAACCTTTACCAGGGCTGCCGACAAGGAGCGGTATGCCTCGGCTTGCACAAGGAAGATAATTCCTTGTAAATATATCCATGGCCCTACACTTGATATGCTAAACCTGAGGGATGAGGTCACGCAGCACTTGACTAATGTAGGCTGGACCCGCTATGCTTCTATCAATCTACCTGCTTTTATTGAACTCACATGGGAATTCTATGCTACTTTTGAATTTAATATTCCTGATGAATTCTCCGTTACCACTCTTGGGGTAGTGAGATTTCGATTGATGGGTAGAGAGTTCAACCAGTCTATCACTGAGTTTAATTTGGCTCTTGGGTTTATTGATATTCCTTACTCCCAGAGTGAGGAGTATATGCACAGTGTGTGTGAGTACTCGGAGCCATTTTTCTCTCATTACATTGATTATTGGAGAGATTTGTCGGTTGACCGCCACATCTATGACCCCAGTCAGTCTAAGGCGTCTTATCTTAAGAGTGCCGCCTACCGTTATTTACATAGATTCATGGCCTATAGTTTCTCAGGTAGGAAGGATAGCTCGGGTACTCTGACCAAACCCGAGTTCTTTTTCGTTTGGTGCATGGTCACTCGGATTAGGGTCAATTTGGGTAGCTGGTTTGCCCTCCACCTCCGGACTGTGCTAAGTAAGAAAAATAAGCCATTAATCTTAGGCTCATTTATCACTCAGTTGGCTGTTAATCTTGGGGTTTTGGAATTAAATAATCATAACTTGCATCGTGCTTGTGCTATGGAACCCCTTGATTTGGTTTGTTTGGAGAAAATGGGTCTTGTGCTACAGGTGAATGGCGTTTTTTAGTTTGCTCCACCGGGGCCAATCTCCGTTCCTCCAAAGCGCAGCGCTTCCAAATCCACTGCCCCGGAGGCTGGTGGTCCTTCCACGGATGCCCCCGGACCATCCGCTTCGGCATCTCCACCATCTTCCTCCGTCGATAGCCAGCTTGCAGCCCTCCAGTTCCAGATGCAGCACATGGACACTCGTATGGATCGGATGGAGCGTCAAATGGGCGAGATGACCCAGAATATAGCGCAATATCTTCATCACGTGGGCTTTCGACCGCCTTTCCCTCCACAGCCATGATGTATTTCTGCCCTCCTCCGTTTTAAGGGAAGTTTCATTGCCCCGCTACCTCTGTTTTGCTCTTTCTTTGTTTACATTGGGAGCAATGTAAGGTTTAGATGTGGGGGAGGGTTCACTACGCTTTGAGTCGTGTTTTTAGTTGTTGGGTGTGCATTTTTCTGATTTTAGTAGTTAAACGGTGATGAATGCGATTGAGATATGAGTATAAATAGTAAGTTCATGCCATGGGGTGCTCTGCTTCCCTTAATATGGAATTGATTGATGAATATGCTGAATTTAACATCATTTTGACCACTTGTGCGATTTTTGGGCCTAATCTTTCGTTTGCTTGAGTGGTTATTGCACATGGTTTGTCATTCTAGAACTTGCTCGGTTATGCATGTCGAGACTGCATTTAAATGAGTTTAATGCATTAAAATAATAGGGCACCTAGGAATGAGCCATTTTTGAACTTTGCTTTTGGTTGTCCTACCTTGTGTGAATTGAATTGGGGAGCAGAAACAATCTCGTGTTTTTCCTCCTGTGATGGACCGAAGCGGGAGAATCGAATTGCAAACCTTTCCCAATTCTCCACGCGCGGCCTACTTTCCACTAATGGGGAACTAAACCCCTAATTCTAGTCAAGGGGACAACTGACGATTTGGTTCGGCAATTACTGTGAGATCTAAACCGTTTTTAATTATTTTCTTCATTAATTGATATTCATATGTTCCCTGATTTTAATTGCTATAGCCTCGTGCATGATTGGTTAGTGCGCAATAATTAATTATTCATATAGGCTATTTTGCTAAATAGGGATAATTGAATCCGTAATTGTTCGTTATCCCTGTCTTAGTAGCAACTGGTATAATTGGGTTTATGTCAGGGGAATATACGATCTAGTTTAAACAAACCCTCGTAGCGTGTTTGTTAATTAGGATTGGGTCTTTCTAATTATTAATGCAATCTAAAAATTAAACTCTACGGTCGTACCTAGGGTTGTTTTTGGGTTAGAGAAATAGCTAACGGTCGTACCTTAGCTATCGATAAATTAAGGAAGGGTTGGTCGTTTAGCGCGTGCGAGACAATTATAACCAATCTATTAATAAATGTGGAATTACCTTTGAATCAATGATCAGTTGCATGAACCATTTCTGAAGTGTACCCTTGGCTAGATGTTTCTCTTAATTATTTCTTTTAATTGATTATTTTCTGCATTTAATTTGTTTAGTTGGCATTTAATCCCAAAACCCCCATTCATCTTGATTTGAAAAGAAGCAAAATATCTTGCTAGTCCCTGAGGAGACGACCCTGCTTACCACTGTCTACTAGTTAGTGATTTCAGTTAAATAATTAATTCAGGTATATCGGATCAAGCAAACTCTTCGGGAACAGGGTGAATCAAGTAACCCATTGCACACCTAGAGTTCCTGCTCCAGTACTCGAATTGATTAATGACTGGTTTAGGTGGTATTTAGATTTTATTATTTATTATTATTGCACAGGTTCGGCACCTGTCATGAATATAAGAAATGGCGCAGTTCGTAGTTCAGCATTATAGGGAAGGTAGTCAGCAGAAGAAAACTTGAGCCTCACTAGAAATAGGAGAAAGACAGAGAACATGCAATAGCTTAAAATAAAGAAAGAAAATAACATAAAGAAATTTATAACGACGTCGAACCCAAAAATAAATAAGAAAGAAAGAGAAACTAATGTACTTAAAACAATTTTTCCATCAGAACAACTCAAAAGGTGTTAGCAGTTTTGCACCTCAAGAGAGTTTAAAAAAAAAAACCTACAAAGCTCAACATGGAAAGTATTAATATCGATTCCTACACAATAGCAAATTCTATGCTAGTGGAGAAGCAGATCATTTTGGGGGAAAAAAACCTCAAAGGGTGGCGACAGTTGGTAACATTTAACGAAGGGGAGAAAACACGTACATGAGAACCAGTCAGGATTTTGATCAAACAGGTGATCTTCAAATATCTCATCACTCTGTGGTAAAATATGGGTCAAGGGCATTTTTGGCACTAGAATTGTCCCACTCCAACGATTCCCACCATGCTTTATTTCCCTTGATTTTACGAAGAATGCTGGGAAGAGATGGTTGTCCGTCGATGGTGGAAAGAAACAAAGGCAACCTCTTTACCTTTGGACAATCTAACATTTCAATCTCCTCAATTGAATCGCAGATCATGGTTGCCTTGCAAACGTTCTTCAGTTGTGGCAGGTTATCCAGACGCAACCACCTCAATTTCGGAAGGATGACAGTGGCAGTGGCTCCTTCACTTGAAGTCAATTGGGTGCCTTCTCCTCCTCCTTGTCCTACTCCATTGCCATCTGCTGCTATCTCCTCCAGTCCTTCACAATCTTTAACTGCTAATTTTCCAAGATTTTGAAGGATCTGCAGCAACTGCACCGTGAATAGCTGCTTCATGTTATGATATCCAGAAATGCTCAATTTTTTGAGGGAAGAAAAGGTGCCAGCTGAAAGCAAATATGGTGGTCCGTCGATGGTGGAAAGAAACGAAGGCAGCCTCTTTAAATTTGGACAATCTAACATTGCAATCTCCTCAATTGATTCGCAGATCATGGTTGCCTTGCAAATGTTCTTCAGTTGTGGCAGGTTATCCAGACACAACCGCCTTAATTTCGGAAGGATGACAGTGGCGGTGGCTCCTTCACTTGAAGTCAATTGGGTGCCTTCTCCTCCTCCTCGTCCTACTCCATTGCCATCTGCTTCTATCTCCTCCAGTCCTTCACAATCTTCAACTCTTAATGTTTCAAGATTTTGAAGGTTCTGCAGCAACTGTACTGTGAATAGCTGCTTCATGTTGTCACAGTCAAAAACCCACAACTCTTTAAGGGAAGAAAATGTGCCAGCTGGAAACAAATATGATGGTTCTGATTCTCCGTAAAATAGACCAACCAGATTTGGCAAACTCCAGAGGCGTAACTCTTCGAGACCACGGAGTGGACTAAAAGACGAGTCTTCCGGCTGATCACGTGGAAAAGCAGAAGACAATTGCCAGAGGAACTCTATTCCAACCGAATCCATAATATCCAATCTAGATAAGTGGCTTAAATTTATAAAATTCTTAAAAACATCTGACAAGCACCTAATGCCCATGCCCTCACAATCCTCGATTATCAGAGATTTCATATCATCTGGCAGATAGTTCGATCCTCTACCAAGCTTACACTGATGGAAATGCAGATCTTGCACCAGGAACCGATTAATTCCACCATCAACAAAACTCGGTTCCTCAGTTAAGATGTCATTGATATAAACAGTATAATAGTATTTTGGTCACCGAGTGATTTTATAGAAGTCCATAAAAGACAAACATCCTCCAAAACTTTCTAATTGGTTCAACACTTCTGGATCATTAACTTGTACCCTACCATTGGATGGCAATAATAACAGTTGAAGACGGTGAAATTGGGAAAATGTCCCTTTTGGTATTATCTTTTGGCTTAAAGCCCCATACTCGTCCAAGTTAAGCCTTTCGAGGTTGACCAGTGACTTCCAACCTTCAGGTAAATCCTCAATCTTAGTGTAGGATAGGTCCAAATCCCTCAATTGCTTGAGCTTTCCTAGTGGTGGCACAGATCGGAGGTCCCGACAACCCCTCAAAATCAGGGCAGTGAGATTCACCAAGTCTGAAACAGAATCAGGTAGCTCTATTATACCTCCGCACCGAGATAGATTCAAAACTTTAAGTCCACACATGTGCCGAAAGAATGAATCTGGGATTTCTTCTATGGAAACATCAGAAAGAAGCAAGGTTGAGAGCTTAAGACAATTTGGTGACCAGGCTGGCGGAACTTTTATTTCTGGGTGTGGAGCTGAAAATGAATGAAAGGAGACTGCATGGAGATCTTCTGTCCACTCTCCTTGTTCCAGTGTTACTTTAGAATTTCCCTTTCCTATGCTTTTCACCAAGAACTGTGGTACATCCCCGTTCATCTGTAGGTTGGATTTTCCTTTCGTGATTCTTAATGCCATATCTCTGACCAAATCATGCATCTTCACACAGTCACCCCTTCCGAAATCTTTAGTTTCTTCTAGCAAGCAAACTTTTATCAGTTTGTTTAATATTGTGTGACCTTCATCAAATTCTTTTGGTCTTGAGTCCCGTTTTGGCATCAGCTCTGCCCAAATAAAGAGGTCTATTAGTTTCTCTCTGCTTATATCACTATCTTCCGGATAAAGACAGCAATACAAGAAGCAATTCTTTTCACATTTATTCAGGCGATTGAAACTCCATTCCAGGATGCGAAACACATCTCGTTCCATCTCATGATACCCTATTGAACATGTTTTCAATTGTTCCAATGCATTTCTCCACTCACAAATGTCGGTCACACCTCTCATGCTTCCAGCCACTGTGATAATGCCAAGAGGCAAACCATCACACTCTTCCACAATGGACTTGGCAATACTTTCCAAATCTCCTTGAAGCAAGGGCTCGCTACCAAGTTTATACTTGAACAAATCCCAAGCTTCGCCTGTGTCCAGAGTTTGCAAATCAAACTTTCTTTGACATTGTATCCTGTTGCACACTTGCAGTGAGCGAGTAGTCAAAATCAATCTGCACTTGTTTGGATGAAGTGGAATCCCTACCCTGTCTAAACAAAATTCTTCCCAAACATCATCCAATATGAGTACTATTAATTTCAGCATTTTCCTGAATATGTCACGCAATATTCTTGCCCTGGTGTCTTCCTCGTCCCTACTGGATAGATTAATGCCCAAGACATTGGCAATCTTATCCTGCAAGCTGGTGACACTGAAGTCTTGAGATACTGTAACCCAAAGCACCCGATAATTGTTCTTTTCTAAAAGATGGTACTCAATGTGCCTCGCCAGTGTGGTCTTACCAACTCCACCCATACCATAAATCCCAATGCTTGATATATCATCGGCCACCAAGCATGGCCAAATTCTCTTCAAAGCTTCATCGAACTTTACTCCAAACAATTTGGTTGGCAGGCATGGCTCCCCGATGTTGTCACAAGTATCGAGCACAAGCCCATCGAAATGACGGCTCTGATCAACAAGGTCTTTCACCTGAAATTGCAGCTTTCCTACAGGATCCTCCTTTAGTAGAAGACTCCAAGATGATCCTCTTGTTTCCAATGCATCAATTTCAGGACTTAACTTTTTAACGTCCTTCAACCAATTGTCAACTTCACTTTTCCTTTTCTTTTTGCCTGACATTTCTTCCCTATTGACTTCTTGTTCTACGTCAAATGCTTTGCAACTCAATTCTTGCCAATTCCTTTTTAGCGATTGCACGTTGTCCATGTGACTCCTTCCCGTGCAATTTTCTAATGCGAACTCTACCGTCTTTTCTATCACCTTTTCCCCCGTCTTTTCTGCCAGAGCTTTTCCCCAAAATGGTAGCATCTAGAATTTAAATATACATCAAGCTTAGGTGCATAAAGCAAATTGAAGCAAATCCGAAAATTAAAATTGAAGAGAAACATCAAAAGTTGCCAGCGGAACTTAGTCAACACATAGTTTAGTAAAGATTAATAACCAGAAAAAGAAAATGTTTTTCACTCAATTCAATAATTGTTCAGCTATTAGCTAATCTAGAATTCTGCTGACTGAATAGTTCATTCAATATTTGAAGAAATGACAAAAACTTTCGAAGATTGATTTTGAAAAAATTAGAAGAAAAACAATTTTTTGAAGCACTGAATTGATCATAGAATATCTAAACCCACAAATTTTGGTGTTTCATTAATTTCACCGAACACTTCTATACATTACCCTACGAATTCTCATTTGTCTGTGCTGCTATTGAGTTAGTAGAAAGTCTCTCCTCATGTCATATTTAATTCCGAAAAAAAGAAGAAGAAGAAGAAAATGTCTCAAAACACCCTACCTAGATAAAAATATGTCAACAATTTTTCCTTTTCTTTTCTTTTGCTTTTTTGAAAAAAAAATTGAAAGGAAGGATGCTACAGTACTACACTAGGCTACTCTCCTCATCTCATACGTACATAAACTCATAACGTGCTCTAAAACATTTAATTTGGTAGAACGAAGACCGTATAAACATGAAGTTGTCCAATTATGCTGATTCAATTAAGCATTTTAGTAAATGAAACTGATATGCATCTTGTTTTGATAACAAAAAAATTGATATCCATTTGATGTAAGAAAACTTTTATAAAAATTTAAGATTTTCCATAAAAGCTTCTAAGTTATAAGACTAAGACCAAGATCCGTATATGTTTCCATACTCGATAGGGCTGACCCATTTGAATATCAATTTATTCCTATGGATCCATCCTCTGTCTGGGTCTAGTTTTGTTGTGATTAGTTAGGTCCAGGTTGGGATCATCTCATTCTGCCCACTGCTGGAAATTCTTGCTAAGAAATGTGTGAATTATGTAGAAAACTTGAACAGAGCACTCCATGTATTGAAAGAAGAACAAGTGACCAAGATGTTTGGGCCTCACAAAGCTAAACATAATATTATAAAATGAGAAATAACTACAAATATTTACAAATTCAAGATCAAGTGTGATATCATTGCACCTTGAAATTAGGACAAGTTATCTTGAAGACTTGAAGAAGCTGAGAACTCTTAAACTCTGCCAAACGACAAAAAGTTAGTATTATATTTTGATCTCGGTTTTGCTACTACAAGAACTATGATAGTTGAGTTTTGATGAATAAATTATAATTGAATCAAGATGTTGGTGCCAAGCAAAAGGTGAAATAAGAGAAGAACTCCAACAGTTACTAAGTTCCGATGGATATGATCTCATTATACCTGAAACTGACTAGAAAACTTGAGGAAGCTGAAAACCTTGAGACTGCCAAGATTATGTGTTATGATTGTTGAGTGTTGAGGAACGGATGGTAAAAGTTGAACTAACAGCAGAGCAGACCAGGAATGATAACGGGCCCTCGTGAAGGAAGTTCCGGGAGTGTCCAGACTCCAGAGAAAGGCTAGTGGAATTGTACTTGATTAAATACCTCGATTATCATCCAATTTGTATTTGGCAACCTTGCAAAGCACGAGATGCAACTCTGGCTACGAGTTAGGAATCCAACCCATTACAGATATACCCAAAGAATTGCACATATTTTTATATCCAAAAAGTATATTGCATCTACTTTTAAATCCACAAAAAAAAAAAAAAAAACTATTCAATACTGCTTATACCATAAAATTGACACCAAAACTTGGATTTTGACTTAGATTCAACAAGATCTAATAGTAAGCATCCAAAAAGAAAATGTTGAATTAATACATTCACAAACAGATATGGGAGACTAGGTTAATTTACACACATAAGAATATTCCTATATATATATATATATATATATATATATATATATATATGTCCATTATGGCCCAGCTCCAGCCCATATACAGCCTCTGTTCACATTTTATCTTCTCCAAAATTTGATAAGAATTTGCAACTATGCTAAAATTCAATATTCTTGCCCAAAAATGCCAACGATGTGAAAAGCATGAAGAGAGCAATCCATGTTTGAGGAAAAGGAAGCGGTCTAAGTTTTTATGTGCCTCGTAAAGCTATATATAGCATGACAGCAATAAGAAACAACTTCAATATTACAAAATGAAGATAGAATATGATATCCTTTTACCTTGAAATCTTGGACAAGCAAAAGTTCTAGGCCAGGTTATCTTGAAGAAGCTGAAAACTGCAAGAGTCTGCCGAAAGAAAAAGTGTGTAATTTATTCCGTTAGTTTTCACCACTAAGAAGCAATTCCAAAGATATTCAATTAAGACTCTGCCAAAAGTATGTGCTTTATTTTTTTTATTTCCTACGAGTATGATTGTTGAGTACTGAGGAATACGATATTTTTAGACTGCAGCGTTGCCCATCACAATGTCTCAGTCAACGTCTTCCTTCCCAGTTCGTACGCAAAGAGTCAAAAGGCTCAATATTTTGATACGGTGTTGGCATAATTGTTGTTTGTATGTTTGTATGTTTTTTTTTTGTCTATGCCTTTATAGCGCAGGATTAATTTAGACAATTTTTGCTAGCGTTGGTATGAATAATTTTTTAAATGGACTGTTTTTTCGCTATACTTTTGTAGCACAGGATTTAGATTGCTTAAGTTAAATAAGCCTATTATTTTCCTTAAATTTTATGGGAAATTTTGG